AACATATTTAGTCGACTCTTTATATAAAGGTACTCTGTGGTCAACTGCGAGCGAGGGAGAAGACCAGTTCTTTGTTTTCAAAAAGGAGGTTCTCAATTTGAGTGTGTTTTTTTTTGTATGTATGTTACGCGATATTTTCTCAGATTGTGAACCGATTTTAATTATTCTTTTTCTTTTATATAGGCTTTACCTCAAGGGTGGTCCCATTAAATTTTGAAGAAAAAATTCCGCCGCCAAGGGTGGAAAATAGGGGAAAAAAGTTTCATATTGGACTATTGTTTAAGTAATTTCATTATTATCTTCGCAGATTGAGAACCGATTTTAATGATTCTTTTTTTACTAAATTTGGAGAAAAAAATTCCACAACAATCCTTCAGAAAATAAATAACTTCTTTTTTAGGAATTTGAAATCGGTTTTTACTTTTTTTTAAAAGTTATAATTATGTAATCGTCGTTTTCAATAATCTAACACTGATTTTGTTTAATGTGACTAAGAAACGCTGTTATTATTTATGAGCGCACCTTTTCAACGAGATTTAGAGAAGTCTATTTCAGATCAGTATGTAATTTTATTTCGTATTTGCCTAAAACAGTAACGATCGTAAATGAAAATACAACTGGCATATTTATCGATCGAACGATCTAATAGTAGACATAGAAGCCTTTGTAATCATTAAATAAATAAATAAATTGTTTCTTTATTGGCATCGCTTATAACATAATATCATAACATAACATAAAGTTACACAGGATTCTCTACAATTTATCAGTTGATCATTATTTTATCTTTGAAATGAAATCAAATAGAACATATTAATTCATTTGAATTTCAATTATAACATTGCTAATATTGTTAACCGTTTAAAAAGTATCTAGCAAAAACGTGTTGCTATTCCTGTTCGTAATGCTTGCTTATACAGTATATTAGAAAGGTCAGTTTGGTCATATACAAAAACTCTTATATTAATATCAACTATAGACAAGGCAGAAATTACATTGATTTTATGGACCTAAGTATAATGAAACGAATATACTTAATTAAATATAAAATCTATTAGGCGTTGCTAGGTCCAGCATCCGGGTCCATAATTAGATCAGCTAAATATTACTGCATTGTTATTAGTATGTCAAATTTCAACTCAATCAGGTATCAGAAAGTGTTTCAAAAATTGATTGCAAGTTTTGAACCAGAAAGAATATAATACAAATACCTATAATATAATACGAAGAAACCAATTTCAATAACTTGTTATAAAATTGTTTTTGAAAAAAGTGTTATTAAAGGAACAAACAATCATCTCATACATAAAATATACATACATACACCCGAAAAACATAACACTCCTACTGGGGCAGTCGGGAAAAAATATTCTGTAAGCTACAAGTGAGTGTTTTACTCTTTATACAGAGTTATTTTGCAATAACCGGCCAAATTTGCAGAGAAGGTTCAGAATAAGTAATATAGGCGAATGGTGAAGAAAAATTAAATAGAAAAGATCTCTAACATTCTGTGATTTTCATTTTTTAAATTCAAAATGCGTGGTAATACATTATTTTAACTGATTGTCATTCATAAATATCTGACGCCTACTATTTTACTACGCACGCACACAAGGGTCGATCGGTCGGCAAAAACGATATGAATTGAATTGTACACAGAGGAGCACGCGTACGTGTAGTTGTTGCTCATTCAATTTGGGATAATTTCAAATAAAAGTAAGAGCCTTATTTACTCGTATTTTTAAAAAGTGCAATTACGATATATCATTATTTATATATTTGAACTTAAGTATAAAATTTGGCTACTCTGAAAAATAACCCTGTATATTTTAAAATATGTAAAAGATTTTAAATACTCTCTTCTTTTATAATTTGAATCTTTAAGACAACGTTTTAAGGCACATTCGCTAAGCGCGCACATCTAATATTGCATATTACTTAAATGTTCGTTTCTTCTAATTCACTGTCGATGTAATTTCTAACTTGTAACACTATACTGTCAGTGTAAAATATTTTAGACGAAGCACATTGGGCTTAAAAATATCATAATATGGCAACACACTAATACTAGTAATATTATACCTACGTGGACCACCGCACCGACACTATTATTTATTCTGTGGCACCGACCAATAAAATAATTATCTATGACATAGATAAATCTTCATTACAATATGCAAATCAATATTTTTACTTTTTAAATTAATGTAGTGACGAACGTGAGGTACCTAACACAATTTAGGATAAATCATAACCTGTAAGATCAGCCCACCGAGCATGAGTTTTTTTTTCCGTACCGAATTCGTATCACCATCGAGTGACTTTGTAATATAGATAAATAGAAATATAGATCCATTTAAGACTATTATGGGTAATTTTCATTTCCATACAATTTTATTTTAATCTATAACGATACGAAAAAGTTAGTCAAAGAGTATTGTAGTTTAAAACGGGAACGTTAGTGTTAAAAACTTGTGCTAAAGCAAAGCTTGAATTACTCCCTAACGAGAGTGCTAAGGGCACGTATCTAACTGTGATGTCATTATAAAATAAATATTGACGAATTTATTGGTTGGATAAAAATTTGTCACTATATTTATTGTTGAATTGAGTTTTAAATGATTTGATGTTTATATATATATAATTCAATTGCTGTCCGTTAGTCGTGAGGCGGGCGGATCGCGAGTATAGAATAAAAACAGAAACTGAAATATTTATCGTTGAAGAGGGATATGATTATAATGGCAGTTTACCGACCTGAAAGAGCTATTATCTCAAAAATTACTTAATATTGAGATCTAAAGAACGAAAGAAGACAACTCTAATTGAAATTAATAAATAAAAACTAATAAAAAGAAAATGCAGTCAACAGCTTAAGTGTATTGTGTGTTGCCATATTTCGCGTTTACCTACAATACGAATAAAAAGACCGAAAAGGTCGGAAAACTTCATTTGGAAGCTTAAAACGAAACCATGCACACTCATGGTAATGATGTCAATTTGTGTCTGACCAGCAGATAGTAATCACTTACAATTAACAATTTAAAAACTACTTTCGAATTCTAAATTATTTGATACGCTCAATCATATTCGCGAAAACTTTGCAATATTTTTCGACATATTTACAATTCTTGTTAAAAGGTATTTTAAGGGAAAAAGTCGCTTATATTACAAATACGAGTACGTTATAATTTCGTAACATTAGTCCTATAATTGCGACACATTGGTTTTAATAATTACAATTTATAAATAAGCTGTTTGTTCGCTAATTACTTGCGTATTCTGATTTTAAATTACGTTGTATAATATTTTGTATTAAATTACTGTCAAAAATGTTTACATAATGTATACTTTGAAAGAGCTTGTAACGAGCTAAAAAATTGCACCTTGCTGGAAATCTTGTTGAGAACAGTATTGCCAGCCATTGAATTACTAAAAAGTTTTTGTGTAATGTATCAATATTGCCAGCAATACTTTTGCTATACAATGTTATCGTACAATTTCGTGCAGAGTATATTGGGGTAATGTTGCTTCACCTGTATCGCCGCAACGAGGGCTACGCCATCTTATTCAACTGCTCCACATGCGTCAGCGTTAGTGTTAGTGGCTGCGGTCTCTAGCGCCATAATTATCGCGCTAATTTTAATGCTCTAAATCAACTGGCTACATCTGCGCACTACTCCATCAGTTCATAATTTCTCGTTAAGGCGACACATCAAAAACCGTTGAAGCGGGCTATCGCCGGATTGACCCGAGTGAAACATAATTTCTACAAAAACTTCAAAAACGCCGTCATTAGGTCTAAAATTGCGTAGCGCCCGCGACAATTAAGACCGCTTAGAAATCGCTTATAATCTAATAATATTTTTAAAAAAAATTATTGATTTTAGTAATCAAAATAATGAGCAAGTAAATTACGAATATTGATGTTATGAATGTATTTGAGTGGTTCCCAAGCATATAGATTAAGTAATTTTGTTGTAATTTCAACTATAGTGATTTTTTAGTTTTCGCAAATAATTATGATCGAGTCAAAATTTGACAATCGTGTTTTTGAACAAGCAAATGCAAGATAAAGACATGAATTTACCTATATCAAAATGCCAGTTTCATCAGTCGTGTCATACTCCTATACTATTCGATGAAAAAAGGTGCATTTTTTCGCGGTGTCGCCTTAATCGTCGCGTTAACGTGGCGGGGAAAATAGAAGTTGAATCAGCTGCTATAGTTTACTACATGAGTGTTATTAATTACTTATATGCATGTTTTTTATAATCTATGGATTGGCCTGAGAAAACTGTCTATGATTTCAATAGCAAACCAATTTGTTTTATATATATCATCACTGCCGTATCCTGACTTTATTGACTTTTTAAGTTTTTTTAAATGAATGCGATAGTATCCCATTAAAGATTCTATTTGATAGAAAAACTTTAACTTTTTAATTAGACCACTCAATACTTTGTTGTTTCGTTGCTAGCTAAACGTTCCCGCCAAAAGGAACTACGCATACGTCTTCACTTATGAAGACGTATGCGTAAATGTTGGCTACATCTGCACTAAGGTGCAGATGTAGCCAATATTTACGCAAAAAATAAATTAGTGCACTAAATGTTGGCTATATCAATTATCGCGACAATTAACGCGTTAAGACGCAGGTGGAGCAATAGCATTATACGCAAGATGGTCACAGTGTAACCATAATTGAAAAGTGGCAATCGCTAAGAGTAGAAGTATTCTGTGCATAACACTCATTGAGTTTATTAACGTATAGCAACATTTTGTCGTCGGTGCTACAGGGTAAGCAACATTGCACTGTGCCATATAGGCGGTATTTTCAAGACTATAATTGCAGTTAGAAATTGACACAAAACTAGCCCGTTTCTAGCATTAACAATAATTAATCATCACATTTATGCAATTAAATATGTGTGCGTAAGTACTTTGACATAGTTTAATTGTAGTTATGGGGCGTTGTCGATGGATCTCAAATGATGTTCCTACGCCCTCGTGTGGTTGTTGGTTGTGACCGGCGGCGCCGCTTCAGCCTCTTCTAGAGCGGCTTCAGCTTTTAACTTGCGGTATTTACCTATAATGAAAACATAAATAGTTATTTCTATTGAATAAAACTACTTTTACGGATTTTATCGCGTTTAATTATCTTGTTTATATTCTTGTTTATGTAACTGACGTGAAACACCAACGTCCCGGGAAGTCTGCAGTTTGTGATCATATCCTAGACGGCCCCCACCATTACATTAGATTTGATAAACCACAAATTCTCGCGAAAGAACATCGATTCCTGCCAAGGATGATACGCGAGGCTATTGAAATTAAAAAACATCCTAATTTCAATAGAGAGGAAGGCTGGGTACTACCACCTGCTTGGGATCTTGTATTAATAAAATTAAAACTAAACCCAAGCATACCAACTGCAGGACTTCAAGACACAGTAAGTTCATACTGCGTAGATCGGACCAAAATTAATGATTAAAAAAGCTGAAGGTACTCCGGGTTAACTCTGACATCGGGACGTCAATCACCTCAGTCCCCCGTGACCATGAGTGCTGTAAAGTACCCGAAACGTCGGGAATCAATAAAAAACAAGATAATTAAACGCGATATAATCCGTAAAAGTAATTTTATTCAATGTGTAGTGTTCGCGTAAATATTACAAATAGTTATTTCTACAAAATAATCTATATTGCCAAACATTTTCACAATTTTGCCAATATTAACTTTGGTAATATTCAAAACTAAAAGGTAGCCTGGCTAACTATGACATTGGGATGGCAAACACCTTACTCCATGGGTGTCCAGTGACCATGGGTGGTGTAAAGCACACGAAACGCCGGAAATGAATTATAATTTTGATTATTAAGCAAATGAAGGAAATTTTAGATAACTTACGTGATATTCTGACCATGATGGTGCCCCACCATATAGACCAACCCCATCCGACGAGGCAGAACAGCACCGTGAACAGTTGTCCGCAGCCAACCAGAAGATCGATGACAAATAAACCTGAGAAACATTGATTTACCTATATAATTTCGTTTATCAGTCTTTTAAACCGACTACAAAAAAGGGATGAAGTTCTTAGTTCGTCAGTATTTTTATATTATGTTTTTTTATAGAAGAGTCACACTGTGTGGCAAATGAGTACACTCGCACACAGCCCAGTTGATGGTACGTTAATGATGTGGTTCATAAACATCTACATCTTTTAAGTGCCGTTTTAGAAAAATATAATATCTAGAATGGTGAATTACTGCTATAGTTATTGGTATATTATACAGCTTGGGGACTGCAGTATCAAGTGACATTTGAGCTTGCTCCCCGTCGCCAATCCCCCCTTACTGTTAATACTAATTGACACTTTGTTTGAACAACTAACCTATTCTGTGCTTGGGGCTGTCGTGGATTCCAAATCTTGGGATCCCGAAACACAGACAGAATATTCCGCTTAGTATTGTACCTGGAATAAGATAATAATGTCGAATTAGTTACTTAATTGCAACAAAACAGGGACTAATTACATATATTTAAGGCGATACCCCGACCAAAACCTTGCGATAGTGCGTTTTTCTTCGTTATTCAGAGACTATTATCTTGAGATACTAAACTAATGATAGTTATGAGAAATAAACTACATCTAAAATCACATTATTAATGTTCCATATCCTATCATCAAATTCCACTTTCTAATTTGTTTTTGTATTATAAATACATTTAAAATCTACTTTTAAAAAATGACTAAAATTATTGATTTGACTCTGCAGGCGGGTCGGTAGCCGCTGTTCTTAATTTTTAGTGGTTATTAGGAAGACTGCTGCCCATCTCCTGGAATTATTCCTCTGTACACGGTATCTGTCTGTCCTAACGGATCAGTAAGCTGTATCGGCAATGGGCCAGCCATGTAGCTCGAAGAACCGATGGCTCAGAAAGTTTCTCGTGTGCCAGCCATACCACATACAAGATGGAGTGACGACCTAGTGAGTGATGCAAGGAGTCGATGGATGCAGTTGGCTTCGGACTGTGCTTTGTGAAATTCCCTGGGGAAGGCCTACGTTCAACGGTGGACTTGTGATGATGTAATGATGATGATGATGAAAATTTTTAACTTTAACAATTAGAACATATTCTTTATTCTTTAAAAAAAAACGTTACCCCCACACTTAGATTTTCTCCTGTATCGTGGAGGCAGTTTATAAACATAAATTGCACAAGGACAAACAGCAGACCCGAAACAATTATTTGTAGGCCATACAAATACTTGGTCGGTGAGGGATTCGAACCCACGGCCCCCAGCGCAGCAACTCATTGCTAAGCACTGCACTATATATATATATATATATATATATATATATAGGCCTATGATGATGATGATGTATATATATATACATATATATATATATATATATATATATATATATATATATATATATATGTATATATATATACATCATCATCAAGATTATATATATATATATAATCTTCTAATTGACTGATTTATCATAGTCGAATGCAAACTACTGAAGCTGCCTTTTTTATAGAAAAAGGGTGACAAACGTGCACACAGTTCAACAGATGGTAAGTGTACTGTAGACCATAGGCATCTACATAATATACGAGTATCTATCTTCGATAAAGAATGTGAATGTGTGTGTGAAATGGAGTGACTTTCAATAAGAATTATTTATAATCTATATTGAATAAAAAAGTTTCTGTTTCTGTTTCTGTTTCAATGCAATGCAGATGCATGTCACCTTTGAGGACTAATAACGTCTCGTTTCCAGTTAAAAAGGGTCTCCGGTTCTCTACACTCAACAAACGAAGCATTAGCTTTATTCTGCAATTTCACGCTTTTATTCTGTGAGAGCGTGGTCCTTCCCTGGTAGAGTGGACCCATTCGTGCTTGAAAACCACCCGAAATTTACAAACAGTATAACAATATGTTTTATACTCACCAAGTCCAGGAACAATTATATTGCAAAACAGACAGAAGTAGGCCAGCGAAATCGGCAGCACGGGAATCGCGCCTCGTATCATACTTGTGTGCTCCACCAGGGACGGATCGAGTTTTGTGCGTGTATCCTACGGAAATAAAATATCAGTTACAATTAAATTTAATTACTCCATACTCACTTTGACTTTCATTACTCATGGAATGCCTTTGGACTTCAAAAAAAGGTTTAAAGAAGGTTCGCAATGTCACTGTATGTTTTTTGTGTTTGTATTTTTAGCCGACTACAAAAATAGGAGGATGTACTCAATTCAATTGTATTTTTTAATGTATGTTAGAACTTTTTTCTAAGTGAACCGATTTAGATGATTCTTTTTTTATTTGAAAGCTGGTGCTTTTCATGTGGCCCTCAATTTGATCAAGATCTGACGCGTAGTTTTTGAGTTATCCTTAACTTCGACTACGTTGATGATGTTCTCATTTTATTTGTATTGAAGTCGGTTGTACAAAAATTTTACCACTTGTTTGAGACATATTCGTCCATCGTCAAATCGTCAATGACACAATAACTTCTGAAGTCAACAGTCGTTTAACCAAGGTCTTCATGAGATTGAACAAGCCACAAATCAGGATAGCAAAAAGTGCTATTACAGGATATGGCTCCTTCAACCAACATTTATTTACTACTATCAGTGCCCCTCGACTTCGCCCGCGTGGAATTTACTGCGATTTCATGGATATCAATTTTTTTGCGCGGAACCCTAATTTTGTTTTTGAGTAATGTTACCATCTTATAAATATTGACAAGTATTGACATTAATATTTATACGATACTAACGTCACTCAATTCTTTTGCCTTTCCGGAACCCCTCCACTAACATTTCAACTTTATGGTATGGTATTAAAGTTCAAATTGACTTTTAAGTATTATTACGAATCTTTTGTGTGGGAATATAGAAAAGCGTTGTTTTTAGACTTTTTCAGGCAATTTTTTTTTAATTTTTGTCTGAGCTCTTGATGTTCTTCGGGGAGATTTAATGGCTCGAATAATCACAATATTCCTGCCCACGTGTAAAAAAAGCGCTTAGACGTGGAGTTGCGGAAAACAACCAGTCGTAAAATAAACTAAACTTCTGAAATCGGGGCTCTGATACTTCTATAAACTGTAGTCTAATTTCTGATAAAGAATGTTGTGTCATTGGCAAAAATTACAAATAATTATTGAGGATTTTTTTTAATATAACCCCGTTTTTTCCCGATTCTTACATTGATTAAAAGCTCAGAATCAGATGATTCAATGAACTGAGTTCCATTGTTTGACCTTGCTTTCCGTGGTTGACAGTGACAGATTGTCAAAATTTGACACATAGTCGGGATGGATGACATTTACAGTTGAGGGGATATAACGGCAGAGGCTCATATCCAGCTGTGGGGCGTTTTATAACGAAAAGAGTATTTTGCTCTGAATATTACGAAAAACATTTCAATCTAACTCAATCAATAGTTCTAATCCTAGACGGCTCCATAATAGAATTATAACCATGTTAATTACATTTAACACGTTATAAATGCACGCAAATAAACGCGTGGCATTTAAAGGAGAGGGAACGCTTAGTTTTTTTTTAAATATTAAGTTTTTACCTATGAAATTGCATTTTTGTTGAACTGGTCACTTCAAACCGTTTGATTTGCCGCTCGAGACATCGAGTCTTTTTCTACCGACTTCAATAAGGAGACGGTACTCACTCACTCAATTCGACTGTATGTTCTTTTGTGTGTTACCTCATAACTTTTAACTGGGTAAACCGATTTCGATGATTCTATTATTATTTGAAAGCTGGTGCTTCTCATATGATTTCATATAAGTTTGATCAAGGTCTGACCAATCATTTTTGAGTTATTTTTAATAATTTATATTGAAGTCGGTTGTATAAAATTTTTAATTTTAAATTATTTGGCGATCGTGCCTTATTTAGGGTTCCGTAGGGTAGAAACCGGAGACCCTTTTTACTGGAAACGACGCATTCTATTTTAGCCCCCAGGGGTCACAACGCATTTGCATTTCGATTCTTAAGCAAGGATAGAAATGTAAATTATGTAGTATAATTATATCTATGTGCTACAGCATTCACTTACCATCAGATGGACTGTGTGCTCATTTCTTACCCTTATTCTATAAAAAAGGCAAAAACTTTGTGATACTTATCTTAGTTGAAACACAAGATTTTACCTCGATATTGACATCAAACTCTACTCGGCGTTTCGCAGAATCAGTTGTGACGATAATTTTCATATTTTGCGGTAATTGGGGCGAGGGACACCGTGTAAATTGTCCTACAGACATGTTACATTGACAATAGAAGAATTCAGAAAAAAAAACACTTCAAATTTTTAACGCAGTTTTAAAAATGTGAAAATTAAAAAAAACATTGCAATTAAACGGCATTTTTTTTTTTAAATAGAGGAACTAACGTTAACCGCGACGTAATGACAAATGCACAATTTTGTTAAACGTATCATAATTATGCAAATAACCATTTAACTTGATGGTATAATATTGATTTATTTGAGGCTATTGTATATTATACTGCTGACCTTGAGGTTATACCATTTAATTAGTTAAAAAAAAAAACTATAAGTTTCTTTCGTGTAATGTTTGTAGATGACAATCGCAGTTAAAGAAAGGTTGTTTCACGCGAACTATAAGGTGAGATATCCAGTTAGTTTTTTTACTGCCTTTTGATATATAGTTTCGTTTTGAAATTCTATTGTTGGTGGGTAATATAATTTTTTTTACTTGTTATACGCCAGTGCTTGACCACAATCCCACCTGGTGGTGAGTGGTGATGAAGCCCAAGATGATAAATCGCACTGGCTTAGCGTAACAAAAGACTCTTGGATTGAAGACGCCCGGATTGTATTCAGACGAAAAGGCAGACGTCGTCAAATTATTCCACACCTTTGCGGAATAATTTGCCGTTTTGCACATGACGAAAGACCAAGCAAACCATTGGGTTCTAATGCGTGGATAGTCCGATAGTGGAAAGGGGAAGAAGGAATTAAAGCATGTAATTCCTGCGCACATTCTTCGTAATGCATCCTATAAAATGTTGAAAGGCTGGATTACTCTGTGCCTGTGTTCGAGAATGACAAGATTGATTAAAACTAAAACTAAATCAAATTTATATTAGAAAGAAGTTGCCTTTACGAATTAATGGTTGTCCAATATAAAATTAAAGAAAAATTCCAGCCCTAAGGGTGAAAAAATGGCGTTGATGTTTTTTAATCGAACTATTTAGGCGACATTCGAGCTTGTGATATTACTTAATCCTCTCAAAAGGTAAAAAAGGTTTGATAAAAAGAAACATATAAAGGAATAAAATACTCGCTCACGAAAATTTAATGAACATAAATTAAATTTAATTTTAACAAAAACAAAAACCTACTTACTTAAAAAAAATACTACTAATTTGACTCTAAACATTTAAACAATATTTGTTTTACGGGGTAGATCAGATCAAATCGTGGTCACAAATCGGATTTGATCGGATTGATCGGATCAAAAATTGATAATTTAATATTTGAAGGTAGCCGTAGTTAACTATGACATTGGGACGTCGAACACCTCAGTTTCCCCCGTGACCATGGGTGCTGTAAAGTGCTCGAAGCGTCGGGAATGTAAAATAAATTAATATACACGATAAAATCCGTAATGGATGCCATACACGATCCAGTTTACCGTCAAGTTTGCAGCGCGCTTGAAGCGGCGTCCGGTAAACTTGACGGTGTATGGCTATCAGCGTGCATGACAAGTCTACTTGAAGCAAAAGTTTTATTTCGATTCTGCTGACTTGATCAAGCTTGCAGCGTCATGCAAACTTGAACGTGTGTACGAGCGGTCAAGTATACATGACGGTAGTCGGAGCAAATAAGCGAGAGACGCCATGGTTTCAACTAGTGCGGCATCATGCAAACGTGACGGCGAACTTGAACGTGAGTGGTCTATATGGATGCACTGCAAACTTGACGCCACTTCAAGCACGCTACAGACTTGACGGTAAACTGGATCGTGTATGGCATCCGTAAAACTATCTTCTGTAAACACTATAATGTTTAAAAAAAGTCCCGCTTCTTTTCTTGCTGGTTCTTTCCAGGACATGGGATTTTTGAACCAATGATAAAAGCATAAATGAATTATAATAAGTATTCTTGTAGTCAATATTGAATAATCATTATTATATTATATTATTCATTCATTCATTTCTTAAAGGTGGATTACGAAAACATAATATCGGAAGAAGAACATTCAGTTACGGTCGGCACTATTGTCGTGTACACACGAAATTTCTTCTCCAATTCTTTTTACAGAATAATGGTGGTAAAGAGCACATAGATTGTTAGTGGATGCTGTGACACCTACATCTATCTTCGATTACGAAATGCCTTGACACCCTTTAGGACTAAAATGTAGAATTCATAAAATAGTCATAGAATTACCTTTCTGGTAATTTTACAAATTTACCAACAATTCAGGCAGAATAAAATATCATTTCGAGTTACTTTTCATGTGTAAGAAAATTGTTGTAAAGCTTTCATTGCTAAAAAAAATATTTTCGAAATAAAATTAACTGGCAAAACTTGACTGGATGTTTAAACGGAAAAAAGCACTACGATCATCACGCTTAGGGAGAGAGGTTGAGTTCTACCACATGTTTGGGATCCTGTAATTAATGAAGTTAAAACTAAACCCAAAGATATCACTGCAAGACTTCAAGGTCCAGTAAGCCCATTCTGCATAGATCACACCAAAATTAATAATTAAAAAGCTGAAGGTACTCTGGGTGAACTTTGATATCGGGACGTCAATCATTTCAGCCCCTCCCCGCATCCAAAACGTCGGGAGTTATAAATAAGAAAAATTAAACGCGATAAAATCCATAAAAAATAATTTTATTCTTATTTCTTTTTTTATAAGATAAGGGTGACAAACGAGTACACAGTCCACTTGATGGTAAGTGGTTGTTGTGGCCCATAGATAACTACCTCTATCCTCGTTTGCAAATCAAAATGCAAATGCGTTATCAGCTGTGACCCCTTCGTGCTACAACTATACAATTAATATAGCTGCAGCATAGCTCGACGTTCAAGTGTGATGATTATAGAAAATCATCTCTTCTGTGCCACAGGCCTATGTCTAGCAATCCTTGACTGCATACGTGCTGATGAGATGAGATGAGATTTAGAGGTTTAAAAATTCGAAATTAATTTTCACAACCATTTAATTACTCTATTTCTGTGAGTTTGTAATTTCAATTCATAACATGACTTTTACCATTACATGATGATAAATTCTATATTTAACTTTTTCCCTACTCATTGTTTAGTCCCACATTGGGTGTCAATTTCTATACAACAATGTGTTAGGTGGAATTTAGTTGAATTACTGCAGTAATGTATTAACTTCATGATTTGCAGGATTTATTTAAGTATAAAATTCGCTTTGAAAGATAGAATATGGTCAGAAGAATATAAATTAAATTGTAATAAAAAAAAATAAACTTAATTTAAAACATTTGGTGGTAGTACAGAAGAAAAATATCGTAACTACAAATTCTTAAAATGTAGCTTGAGTCTAAGGCTGTACTCGGGCTGTGACGAAGATATCCGCAATCGAATCAGAGTAAATGGTATGGATCAATTGATCTTTGACCAACGAGGAAAAATATTTCTTGAGTGGGAGTCTTCTACCCGTAAACAGACTGTAGGCCACCCTAATGTAATAGTATGACCACTAAGATAAAGTGGGAACCTAGTAAGATATTTAGGAAGTCAATTGATGCAGGTGGCTCTGGATCGTTTATAGTGATGATTTTCGGAGAAGGCCTTTATTTGTCAAAAGTTTTGTTTCGAAAAATTTAGAATAATTTTTTTTCTTTGTCAACCAGTCTTATTATCGATAAAATAGTAAATTGCAAATTGCCACCCAAATTACTTTTTAAACTGCACCCTCAATAAACAAACATAATTTTTGTTTCGAAAAATTAAGAATATTTTTTTTTCTTTGTCAACTAGTCTTATTTATCGATAAAATAGTAAATTGCAAATTGCCACCCAAATTACTTTTTAAACTGCACCCTCAATAAACAAACATAATTTTTGTTTCGAAAAATTAGGAATAATTTTTTTTTTCTTTGTCAACCAGTCTTATTTATCGATAAAATAGTAAATTGCAAATTGCCACCCAAATTACTTTTTAAACTGCACCCTCAAGAAACAAACATAATTGTGGGTTAGTTCTTTAATAATGTTTCGTGGCCTTTGTAGCAATTTTCTTAAGTTTCGAGTATTTGTGACTCAATGTTTTGCGTGTGGTTGCGAGGGGTCGATGCTAGGCGTTTAACTGAGGTCATTTGGGCGATGTAAATAAAGCGTATTGGTATGCTTGACCCCTTGCGTTTGTATTCCAACACGGAACAGCTTTAAATGCGTATTATTCTCACGCTTGTCGTGTCAATCTTGCGATGGACTAACATGCAATTTTTTACTTAAAATCTATATAAAATAAATGATAGAGGTTTGTAGTTGTGCGTGCATCACGTAAAAACTACTGGATAGATTTCAATTAGGTTTTCTAAGTGTTACTTCTTAGTCACTTGGTCCTTACCTAAAAATAATTATTGTGATATCTTCATTTAATATAAAGTTATTAAAGTTTTAAGAAACAACGATTTTTATAAGCACTACGTGTTCAGTGATGTGTGGTTTTTTGCCGCGGAGAAGTAGGGCAAGCGGCGTAGCGCGCATGCGTAGAAGAGAGTCTCTTCTACCTCTGCCTCATTGTAAACAACGCGGGCGAAGTCGCGGGTATCAGCTGGTTCTAAATAATTTTTGCCAAGTAATGGATATTGCAAGAATTGAAAAGTTTCGTTTCTTTTAACTATGTATTTGCTCCTTCATTGTTAGGCACATGCACTTTAAACTATAATGAACGATTTAATTGATGGCGCCGGGGGCATGTGGACTTAACTTGCTTTGTTCGCGCAAAATAACATTTTACGTGATATAAGGTTTATGATCTACCACAGTTTTATCAAGAATTGCAACAATTGATTAGCTTTAAAATGAAGTATGTAAATTCTAGTCAAGCAACCACTATAAAGTATGAAGAGTTTGGCACCAGACAATCAAAATGTAACATAGAAACAGAAGCAGATTTTTTTAAAATTCAATATAGATTATAAATAATAGTTATTGAAAGTCACTGGTAAGAAAAAAAAACCTATAAGAACTAGAAAGAAACCCAGCGGGATTTTTTTTGAAATAACAGCTTACAATCATGTGTGTTACACAAGCATACAAAACAAATTAGAAATAGCTTGTTAGCGATCACCTCATTCCCAGGGGTTAATTCATAAATTCCTTAATAATATAATAACCCTTTTTATACAAACTTTGTTTTATAAAGTTTTCAAACTATGAGCAGGTCAAATTTTGTACATTTTCCGGGAATTTGTTGTAAAAGCGTATACATCGCCCCAAGAATGAATGACTCGGTAGAGTCGAGTAACTGGTACTACTAGCTTGTTTCTGCTCCTAGTATTTATAGAATGAATATCACTTATCTTTGTATAACTGCTTTTATTTTTATGTATATTACGTACATTAATTAAATTTCTATAAATATATTGAAAGGCCAAAGTTAATATATTAATTTTCTAAAATTTTTGTCAGGGCGACTCGTTAGGTTTTAAATCATAGATTGCTCTTATGGCCCTCTTCTGTAAAACAAATATTATTTCAGGGTCATTAGCCTGTCCCCATGGCAAAAAAACATACGACATTATGCTATGGAAATAGCTAAAGTAAATAAGTCTAGCAGTTTCAACACAAGTAAGATTTCTAATTTTTTTTACAGCGTATGTTGCAGAACTAAGTCTGCTTGTTAGTTTTGATATATGGGGGCTCCATTGAAGCTTGGCGGCTAGTGTTATTCCAAGAAAAATGGTGGTATCGACAATACGCAATTCCTCCCCATTTAATATTACATTATTATTTCAATGTTTGGGGTCATCATGAGGACACATACATACTATATATACAACATGTAACAAAAACCCTGTGGTTTCCGTTAAGTACGTTATCAGGATCAGTATTCAAACCTATAGAAATAACTTTTTTGTAAAAACTCGACCATATATTTTTTTTTAATTTTATTAAATATGTTTTTAATTTTATGTGGTTTTATTACCTCTTACTGACACTAGCCGACGCTAAAGCTAAGTAAAGCAGGGTCTTTGACAATCCTCTTACTTACCAGACAAAGCAGAGGTAATAAAACCACATACAATTTGCATGAAACAGCTCGACTAGTTTACTTTAGCTATTTCCATAGCATAATGTCGTATGGTATTTTGCTATGGGGACACGCAGCTGACACTGAAATTATATTTGTTTTACAGAAGAGGGCCATAAGAGCAATTTATGATTTAAAGCCTAAAGAGTCGCTGTGACAAAAATTTAAGGAAATTAATATATTAACTTTGGCCTCTCAATACATTTATGAAAATGTAATGTACGTACACAAAAATAAAAGTAGTTTTACAAAAATAAGTGATATTCATTCTGTAAATACTAGGAACAGTCACAAGCTAGTAGTACCAGTTACTCGACTCCATCGAGTCAGTAATTCATTCTTGGGGCGAAGTATACGCTTTTACAACAAAATTCCAGAAAATATACAAAGTTTGACCTGCTCAAACTTCAAAAACTTTATTAAACTAAGTTTGTATAAAAAGGGTTATTATAATATTAAGGAATTTATGGATGATAATAACCCCTGGAAATGAGGTGATCGCTACCAAGCTATTTCTAATTTGTTGTGTTGTTAATTTGTGTAACATCATGATTGTAAGCTGTTATTTAAAAAAAAAGTCCCGCTGGGTTTCTTGCTGGTTCTTCCCAGGACAGAGGTTTTTTCCGAACCAGTGATAATCAAACAAAAGAGTGACTTTCAATAAGTATTATATTTATAATCTATATTGAATAAAAAAGTTTCTGTTTCTGTTTCTGTTTCATACAATTATTTTTTTAAATAAAATTAAATAAAAAAAAAATGCGTATATAAAATAAAGTTATACAGCGTAAATCAGTAAATAATAATTACCTCTGGAGGTAACGTGGGAGATAAGCTTTTATTCTTGGAGAACAGACTCGCTCGAGGACTGGAGGCTTGTTCCGATTTCCGGCGACAAGCGCCTCGTATCCATTGGCACAGACGATAATTACAGCAACTGAATATAAAGGATCTTAATTAAGAAAACATCTCCAGGCACAATAGCTACATAATATCTTTGTACTAATATATTTCATGTAAATAATGTATACGAAATATTTCATCGTATAGTGGTGATGTAAGTGAATTAACACCCCATATCATCTCGGGTATATGTCACAAGAAGACAGAGGGAAGTAAAATAGGAGATTGGCGGCAGTATTTTATTACAAAATACTCAAAATAGTAAAAGTCTGCAGTTGCCCATTCGCCAACTACTATGAAAAATATTCTTGCTCTCTTATAAGGCGATTTATTGGGAACAGTAATGTTCAGTAGTAAACTTTTGATAGGCTATTACGATTTTTTTTATAGAATAATTGAGACAAGCATGCACACAGTCCACCTGATGGTAAGTGATTGCTGTGGCCCATAGACATCTACATCTATCCTCAAATATGAATCAAAATGCAGATGCGTTGTCACCCGTGAGGACTAAGAAAGAATGCCTCTTTTCTAGTAAAATGGGTCTCCGGTTCTCTACACTCACCATAAAAAACACAGCGGCAGCAGTCAAGCTGCCATTTTACGCTGGTATTCTGTGAGAACGTTGGCCTTCCCCGGTAGAGCCGACCCATTCGTGCTACAACTGTACTATTAATATAGCTGCAGCATGGCTCTACCACGTGGTATGGCTAATGTTCAGTCGTAAACTTTTGATAGGCTGTTACGAATGGAAAAAAATCTTAATATTACAATAATGTGAAAAATGCATGGTGATTTATTGAATCCAAAAAGCAACTGCATTCTTTTAGAATAGGTATTTTTATTTTTCGATATGAAAAATAATTGCATACATATCTTTTGCATGGTGCCATAAATCTAACCGTATAGTGCCAGTGTAAGCATATCCACTACTCCATTTTTCTTGTGGGTGTTGTAAGAGGCGACAGAGGGAAAAATACAAGGAAATAGATAGCAGCTCACTAATAATAAATCAACAATAAAAATTGCGTTTGCCACCCTGCCAGCCAAGTGCGGCAGCTATGGCAAATATCCCCCTTATGTGGCAATGTGGTAAGAACTATGGTCAGCAATGGACTTTGTGAATGAACAAAATATTGTCACTTATGAATATACAGGGTTATTTTTCAAAAAGTAGCCAAATTTTAAACTTAAGTTCAAATATACAAATAATTAATAATAATAAATAATTGCAGTTTTTAAAAAATATGTGTAAATAAGAGTCCAAATTAAATGTGATTTATGGGCAACAAAAACGCGTACGCACGATCCTCTGTGTGCGATTCAATTCACAACGTTTTTGCTTACGATTGTGTGTTTGTGTGCGTAATATTTGAGATCTTTTTAAATTAATTTTTTTCACCATTTGGCTATATTATTTATTCTGAACCTTATTTGCAAATTTGGGAGATTATTGCAAAATAACCCTGTATATTTATCTGTGTATACTTCTTCATTTATATTTCAATTGAATTAGAAATTAAAACTTTAGCTGTTTTCAAAAGAAGAACACATTTAAAAGTAAAATTAAAAAAAAGTATATATGAGTATTGCAAACATAATAAAACATTTTATTCAACTTTCTCTACTAAGTACTCGTATTTACAAAGTTGTCGATAGTTAATCCAGCCAAATCTGAAAATAATGTAACAAAACAAATCTGCCAAATCTGAAAATAATGTAACAAAACAAAACTTACCCATTGGGTGTATTATCACTAAAAATGCTGTCTCTCCTTTCCACATCTTGTCGTTTCTTGCCACAACAGCCAGTTTCATTTACGACTGGCGACGATACGCCAACTTCAGCAACACGACGCGGCAAATGGGATGAGTCTTTGACACGACGCCGACGGCAACACGAGCACAGTATGTCACGCAGCTTGCGTTTGCGTTTCGTTTCGTTCTCGAACTCAATTGTCATTGCCTGATCATAAAACTTATCAGTTAAAACCACTACCATCACTAGCTTCAGGGTTGATTTACTGCCTAGAAGTTTCTTGCTGTATAGCCATACATCATGTGGATAGTATCAATCAACTTGTTTATTTTTGATAAATTACAAAACACTGCTGTTTTCTAGTTTAAGGTGGCACAAGTCGCGGGCTCGAACTCGCTGGTGGGCGCGGCCAAAAAGCACGCTGTCTCACCTGGCATCGTGCCCGACAGAGATAGTATCAGTGATGAGCATATCGACACTAGTATTCACGCATGTCTTGTTCGTACGTTCGTACGGTGTTCCGAACCGTTAGAATGAAAACGAAGTTACACGAACACGATGCAACATCTATACTAATATAATAAAGCAGAAGAGGGTTTTTGTTTGTTTAAACGTGCTAATCTCTGGAACTACCAGTCAGATTTGAAAAATCTTTTTTTGGATATTATAGCCAGATTCATGTTGAATAATATAGGCTATACAGCATTAGGCTATATATCTCGGCTAGTCTATATTTGTTAAGGAAGTCAGAAGAAAAAGCGCTGTTATGGTTCGGGATACGTAAATACAATGTTCTAGAAAAATATAGATCTTTACTCCGTCTAAAAAAAGTCCGCGATACCATATGTCTATTTCTTATATATAAGCCACAATTAGGCATTTTGTGACAAAAAAATGAAAATTTAATTATTAGGCACCTTACGAACCAAAGTTACTTCATTATGAAGACAATTTTATGAAGATAAACTTCGTTCTTTATACCATGTTTATATAGTACATAGTTTAAGAGATAATGTAAAATTAAAATAATTCAATACCTACTTGGCTTGACGCGCAAACAACGCATAACCCCTAGCCCGGTGCGAACTGAGAAGCCAGTATTGAAAGCTTCTATGAGCGAGGTTAGGTTAGTCGTTAGTTCAATCGTTATCTATATCTACACAAATAAATAAAATTGAAGTGTCTGTTTGTAATGTCAAAATAACAGCTTTTTACTAATTCCGTATGAAAGTGTATACGGTACTTATAACCACAATTTTTAACATTTTTGTATGTCTGTCAGTCTGTTTGTTGCGGTTAATTTCCAAAACGGCTGGACCGACTTTGACGGGACTTTCACTAGTAGATAGCTCATGTTATAAGAAGTAACTTAGCCTGCTTAAATTTTAGAAAAATTATTAGGTGTCTTTGCAACAAAATTAATGCCCTAAACTAAACGCAGACGAAGTCGCGGGGTACAGCTAGTAGCTAAAATAAATTCAAAATTAATTGAGTACTTTTATCTATCTCCCGGGTGAGCGTAGCAATGATTAGTTACATCTTTATTTCTGAACTCTTTCATTTCACGTTGCTATGGTATTTTGAAAGTTTAAATTTAATTGATTAATAAGTATAAGAGGTTGATAGCAAATTTATCAAGAATCATTTCTTGCCTACACACTTTTCATGTATCGTGTACGTTTTTCTTTAAAACTGGAAAAAACCGCGCATAATATGCCGACAGATAAAATAAAAGTACTCCATTAATCATGACAATTTTTCCATACATTACAATAAAATAAAATATTTGATTGCAATTATAAAATGCTTGAACTAGGTGTCATGTCATGCCACGCATCTCGGACACGTGATGACGCGGGTGAAACCGCGAAATTATTAGGTATACCTCTGTGGCTCTATATACTTAATATAGATTGCTTATTTTATTATGTTTAGTTTTCCCCGAGTGGTCATGCAGCAATCACTCAAGAGTTCGGCTTCGAACGTGTGTAACTCGATAATTATCCCACGGCAACGAAATACCTGAATAAACGGTATCATATATGATATTTGGCAGCTCCGTGGCGCAGTGGCTTAGCAATGAATTGTTGTACTGGGAGCCGCGGGTTCGAATCAATCGAACAAGTATTTGTATGGTCTACAAATAATTGTTCCGGGTCTGGATGTTTGTAAACTGCCTCCACGTTACAGGAGAAAATCCTAGTGTGGGGTAACGTTTTTTTGAAAAAAAAAATTCCAGACTATAGCCTATCTCTGAGCAAAATATCATCCAGATCCCTTCAGCCGTTCTGGCGTGATTGAGTAACATACATCCATTCATCCGTCCATCCAAATATCCAAACTTTCGCATTTATAATATTTAGATAATAATCGTTATTAGTTCTGCCTACCTATAAATTGTTTTCAAAAATACTTACTTACCTGGCTTTTTTTATAATATATACTCAATATCACTAAACGTAAGCACAGGTTTTTATCAAGACAAGTGACCCATCAAGATTGTTTTCTTAGTACTGACGTACCTACCTAAAGTTTACAATTTTGTGGCCACGACGCGGCGAGGTTTTGTGACATTTTGTTGTACTGTAGATTGTAGGTATCTAGGTAATAACATTAGGTACCTATGAAAATCCCACATAATATACTTTGTTTGTCCGCCGCAAAAGTCGTCTAATAAATAATTAAACTATTTTGTAATTCTTTATTTATTTATAACACTTGCACTGAGAGCCGTGGTAGCTCAGATGGATAGCGCTCGGTGTAAGTATCACATTACGCGAGCAGCCCGGGTTCGATCCCCGTCGGCACCAATGAAATTGTTGCAATTTTATATAGTAATCGAATATAGACTTTACTTTTTTTACTTTTATAATTATGTTATATTACAGACGAAAATTTTAAAATATTGTCTGTCGTCCAAAACGCATCATCTCTTTCAATTATATCAATTTCCATGCCGTCTTTTGTCTTTGGCGTCCAAATTACAAAATAGCAAAACTTTTCGTTTCGAATAAAACTCGAATATAAGCTCACGTCACCGCCTGTGCATGTGTGTGTAAGCATCGTCCTCCCGCACCGCACCGGGGGAGCATTTATTCAGTGAGATGCACGATAATTCATAGTAACATGCGCGCGTAAAAAAATACGAAAAGTCCTTTGGAAGAAGGGGTTTTATGAAAAAACCACTGCATTAATCAATTACAAATAAAATTTATTGAGTTCTTCGATAATTGAGTTGTGTCGGTACCGACTTTGTTTTGGAAATTTTTCACTTCTTTTATTACTAATTTACGCCCAAAGTTGTGTTAAAATTGGCAATAAAAACGAATCTTTGGTAGCTCGTAACTTTTTAATAACATTTTATTTTACTATTCTGTTTCCGTACAGACAAATTTAATAATGAGACAAAACGATATCATGTTTAATTTTGGATGTACACTGTCAAACAGCGGAGTAAAACCCCTCCGAAATTTCTATGGAAATAATGTCGACTAGTGTCACCTTAAAGAAAAATCAATATAATTTAACTAGGATTAGAGCCTTGCATGTCCTTAAAGGTGACAACGTATCTTATTTATATACGTACGTATCTTACTTAATTTGAAATTAGTTATATTCGAGTATGCTGCGGTACGGATTAGTAAGCTGAAGTGGCAATGGGCCGGCCATATAGCTCGAGGAACCGACAACCGATGGGGAAGAAAGGTTCTCGAGTGGCAGCCTCGTACCGGTAGGCGAAGTGTAGGGCGGCCCCCCCACTAGATGGAGTGACGACTTGGTAAGACGTGCAAGAAGTTGATGAATGCAGGTGGCTCAGGACCGTGCTTGGTGGCATTCCTTAGGGGAGGCCTATGTTCAGCAGTGGACTTGTGAAGGGCTGTAATGATGATAATGATGATGATGCTGCGGTAGCTATTTTACATTAGGTTCACTTTACCTAATTGGCAATTTAATGTTATAAAATATATTCAAGTTATGATTTTTATATCCTTGCGGATTTATAGGAAACGTTAAGAAAAATAATTTTATATTAAATAATGCAATCACTAAAAAGTGTAGTGGTGATGTAAGAATATCCACTACTCCATTTCGTCCCATGGATGTTGTAAGAAGTGACAGAGGGGAACTGAAACAGGAGATAGGCAGTAGCATCTTCCTCATAACAAAAAGCAAAATCCACCTATGAGGGAGGCCTGTGTTCAGCAGTGGACTTTATAGGCTATGATGCATGTGTAATTACTAGATGCTATATATACTTTATAAAGGTTTTGGTACTTACTTTACCAGCTCCTCTTTCAGCAGCAGCTTGCTCTTTTTCCAAGTCTTTCTTTTTAAAGCAGTTTAGTTTGCTCAGTGTTCCTTTCTTTGCTTCTTTATTGTCTCCTTGTCTCGTTTCTTCCTTCGGTTCGTCTTTTGATTTCTGTTCCTCTTCTTTTGGCTTTGCACAACAAGAACAACATTTCGCTTTACATTTTACCATAAGTCTCGAACAGATGTTAGGTTTTTTCTCATCTGGAATAGTTTCTTTGCTTTCCTCAGGCTGTGATGATTGTTTTTCTTGTTTTGCCTGACGTTGGGTTCTGGGTGGTGGTTTTGGTGTAGTACTCGTGCTTTGAGGAAAACTGAAAACGAAGGTAAAGATGATAAATAATACACATAATATGCTTTATTACTGATTGTGGTGACGTATTTTTAAAAAGCATAAGAAAATGCATAATATTAACTCTATAGTATATACAATTAAATTGTTATAAAGAGAGAGGTCTTCTCTAAGAATTTATGTCATTATGATATGAAAGTGTTTAGTTAGAAGGCATATACCCCAAGTCTCTATAAATAGGTTATTACCTTAACAGTGGAGATTGGCCGGGGTATCTACAAATGGGAAAATAAATAATTAATTTTTTTTTAAATCTCAAATTAGCAAAATAAGCACGAAAATTTTACAAAAACTACTTCCTAAAGAATCGTTGCGTATGATCTTACAAAGCATTTCAAGTTAGTCCAAATTACATAAAATTTAAGCTCGAATGTATGTATCTGCGGTATTATTTTCAAGTTAAACGTAATAGGCCTTATTACAAAAAGTAGTATTATATTTTGTCTCAGGTCTAGACTAAGATCTGTATCGTTAAAGAAGTCCCGCGAAAACATGCGAACTGTTGGTGCGGAGTTAGACAGCAAATGCCAAATTTCGAAAAGACTGGCACCACGGCTAAGGGATATATAGAAGGATTATTCACAAATCTATCAATAAGCCCTATTTTACAATAAGATGGAATAATTATTAGACGAATTGACATGATGAAACCTATTGAATTTATTGGGTTAGTAACACGTAGTAAAATTTTAGTAAAATCTTTAAAATTAATAAAAAGTTCATGTTTTTTGAATATTCACATTCGATACCTATTTAGTATTTAAAAACAAAATCTAAATCCTATGTAAACATATTCAGTCTAATGTAAAAATAAATCTTTCAGTCTGTTTTAGTCCCTCAGACTGTTCTAACAAATCCATCTCAAGAAATGGAAGATATTTACACGAATTTTTTCACAGATTCAATTAAGTATAGTGTTAAATCTCAAGTATTAATGGAAGTGAGCGACTCACTCGCACTAAGCGTAAGCTGCAAAGGTTTTGTAGGCATTCTAGTTTGATTATTTTATTTGTGTGTTTTTGTAAACATACTTAAGCAATACATTCATTTATTAGGTATAGCCTTTCACAAGTCCACTGCTGAACATTGTCCCACCTAAGTAATGCCACAGACCACGGTCCTAAGCCACCTACATCGGTCGACTTCCGGCATGTCTGCTCTACACTCCTCTTTACCGACCTACTACCACTTCAGCTTACTGATCCGTTGGGCTATATCGGTTACTCTGGTTCTGCTTTTGATATCTAGGTTACCGCATGCAGAGAAACTCCGAGCATAGCCCTCCTCATAGCTCGCTGAGAGACCTCTTCACTCTTGTATAATAAAAAGTAAATAAAAGCCGAAAACACAAGACGTAAGAACACATTTTAAGTGTTACCCGTTATTATTCTCGTACCGCTTTGGTAATAATTCATTTGGCAATATATACACTGTTCTGTTGTGGATCATAATTAACAACTACTAATTTTAAAAACGATAAAAAAACATATTATGTGTCTAGTATCTTTAAGGGTTTTTAAATTCACAGATAAGGATTGATTTACAGTCTTGACGTTTGTACGTTCACTTTCGCGCCATGATTGTTTTCAAAATGGCGGACGCGTGTCTCAAACGACGTGCGAGGGTCGACTGGTAGCTTGGCGTGAACTAATTTCTTAAGGGTTGAATTCTTAAGAGCTGTTTCGAGTTTATTACATATCATGCATTCATTGTTATAATTTATTGAATAAAATCTTACGTATAAGTGTAGGGCTGCATATTCTTTATATAAAAAATTAAATGGGAGTGTTCTTAGCAACTATCCATATTTTTTTTTGTATAGAGTAGAAATTAATTACCATGTTCAAATAAACTGGCCGTGCGTCGAGATAAGTTATTATATTCTGGCTAAAATAATCCTTCAGTTATCACTCATTAACTTTTTAGCTAGGTAATGCTTCTGGCCGATTTTCAACAACCAACCCATAACCAGCATAAGGCTGGACATGAGCCTCTCCTGCTGTAGCAAAGATTTGTAATAATCGTCATGCTTGGCAGCTGGATTTACGATCGCAGTTCCAGATGTGTCCCAACTTACATGTGTGATGTGCCTCTACCACAAGAAGTATTTAATTTGAATTCATTTTGACAATCATAGCAGTTTAAAGCAAGCCAAAATATAGAAAGAACGAAAAAAAAAACGAATATAAAACCTTATAAGTTTTTTTATACAATAAGGGTAACAAACGAGCACACAGTCCACCTGATGGTAAGTGGTTGCTGTGGCCCATAGACATCTACATCTATCTTCGTTTGCGAATTAAAATGCAGATGCGTTGTCAGCCGTGAGGACTAAGGTGGGATGCCTCTTTTCTAGTAAAAATGGTCTCCGGTGCTCTACACTCACCATACGAAACACAGCAGCATTAAGATAGTATTCTGTGAGAGCGTGGTCCTTCCCCGGTCGAGCCGACCCATTCGTGTTACAACTATACTATTAATATAGCTGCAGCATGGCTCTACCACGTATAAGTCAATAAGAATTAAGGATACTCATTCACTCATTCGATTTCTGAATTTTACTAAAATAAGGGCTTGCAAAATACGAACATTGATTTCGATTTCTAAACATAGGAAGTTGAACCTTCTTACAAGTTATGTAGAGTCGATAAAATAACTTAATAGTTTGTAGAACTCCTTATCTGCCTCGGAGTCTGTCTACATAGATGTACAGAGTGGAACATGTAGTTGGTGGAAAAGCACCAAAGTGGTAGGTATCACGGTATGTTTCCTATCCTTCGTTCGTTAGACTGCTCGATCAGTTCAACGAAAGTTTTCCGTTTGAGCGACGGAGTTTAGGTTTATACTGTACTGTACTGGAGTGGAAGATGTATATATTAGTGTTAAGCTTAGACTTTGTGGTAGTATGATTAAAGTCTTAAACCGAGCAACACGTCTCCTTTTCTACCGACTTCAAAAACGAGGAGGTACACAATTCGACTGTATGTTCTTTTTTATGTGTGTTACCTCATAACTTTTCTCTTAGGTGAACCGATTTCGATTATTGTTTTTTTTTATCTGAAAGCTTGTACTTCACATGTGGTTCCATATAAATGATCAAGGTGTGACCAATGGTTTTAAATTATTCTTAATAATTTATATTGAAGTCGGTTGTACAAAAATTTTTATTTTAAATTATCATTTAACAACTTCCAACATTACAGTACAATTAAACAAGTTTAATTTCCAATTTTTTAACTGAAATTATAACGAAGTAGACGATTAAAACACCCGTACTATCCGATTTCGTATCTTACTAATGCCTTCATTGTTGTTTTCTGCCGACTTCCAAAAAGGAGACGGTACTCAATTCGACTGTATGTTTTTTTTTTATGTGTGTTACCTCATAACTTTTTACTGGGTGAACCGATTTCGATGATTCTTTTTTTATTTGAAATTTGATACTTTTCGTGTGGTCTCATATGAATTTGATCAAGGCCAGACCAATAGTTATTGAGTTATATTGAAGTCTTCTTATATAGAAGAAGAATTATATTGAACATATATTGAAGTCGGCTAAATATGAAATAAGGGTGACAAACGAGCAAACCCATTGACATCTACATCTATCTCCGTATGCGAATTAAAATACAGATGCGTTGTCAGCCGTGAGGACTAAGATGGTATGCCTCTTTTCCAGTAAAATGAGTCTCCGGTTCTCCACATTTACCATACGAAACACGGCAGCATGAAGGTGCTAATTTTCGCTGGTATTCTGTAAGAGCGTGGTCTTTTTCCCCGGTCGAGCCAACCCATTTGTGCTACAACTATACTATTAACATAGCTGCAGCATGACTCTACCGCTAAATATTTATTATTATTTATAATTTTAGATATAATTTGGAATCCATTTATAAATCAATTCACAGTCTGTCAAAAGTTCACTGCTGATCAAAGGTCTCCCCAATATAATGTCTCATAATGGGGATTTATGCTATAGTTATCACGCTAAGCAGGCGCGTAGGAAACCGCAGTTTTTATTATGTTGAGGTGTTATCAAGAACATACTGCCTAACCTCCTGTTTAATTCGTATGTTTTTTTTATAGAATAAGGATGACAAACGAGCACACAGTCCACCTGATGGTAAGTGGTTGCTGTGGCCCATAAACATCTACATCTATCTAATTAAAATGCAGATGCGTTGTCAGCCGTGAGGGCTAAGATAGAATGCCTCTTTTCCAGTAAAAAGGGTCTCCGGTTCTCTACACATACCATACGAAACAGAGCAGCATTAAGCTGCTATTTCACGCTGGTATTCTGTGAGAGTGTGGTCTTCCCCGGTCGAGCCGACCCATTCGTGCTACAACTATACTATTAATATAGCTGCAGCATGGCTCTACCACGTATAAATGTATAATGTGATTCGTAATCGAGGATAGATGTAGATGTCTATGGGCCACAGCAACCACTTACAATCAGGTGGACTGTGTGCACGATTCTCACCCTAATTCTATAAAAAAAAATTGTCGCCTCTTACGACACCCACAGGATGATATGGCGTATTGTATATGTGGTAGAGCGCAATAGCTGCATTCGAACGATTTTAGCAGCTGTATTTGAACTATTTTTTTTTTACTATAGAGGAAGAAAGAACATGCTACTCACTTGATGTCAACCGTCGAACAACTGCAAATACAATGGAAAATGCAGGAGCGTTACCGACTTTTCTACCGACTTCAAAAAGGAGCCGGTACTCAGTTCGCCTGTATGTTTTTTTATGTGTGTTACCTCATAACTTTTTACCGGGTGAACCGATTTCGATGATTCTTTTTTTTATTTGAAAGCCGGTGCTTCACATTTGATGAAGGTCTGACCAATAGTTTTTGAGTTAATAATTTATGTATATTGAAGTCGGTTGGACAACATTTTTAATTTTAAGTTATTGAAAGGGAGTTAGCTCGTTTCTTGAAGTGGTGGTAAAT